AATTTTGCAAATAAATTTTGGCTGGTATTAAAAGATAGTATGGGCTCACATTCAAAACTGAAAACCTGCTGGCTACTGGGGTCAGTGCTACTATTCAGGAGTAAACATTTTAACAGAACTAGTTCTCTCACTACTACTACTACTACTACTACTACTACTACTACTACTACTGCTATCCAGCATTATCAACCTCCCAATAAGGAGCAAAGGAGACTGCAAAAGACAGAAAAGTGAATTTCTGCTTTGATCCCTTCTCACAACCCAACACCAAAGGAGTTATGTACAAGCAAAGAAGGTTAGGAAAAATTTTTGAGAGGTAGACCACGCTTCTTTTCCACTTCAAACATAACATGGAATGGGAATTAGGGTTAAGGAGATGAGTAGAGCTTTAAATAGAATAGCAGATTGAAACTTTTATATGAAGGATACTGTTTTAACTGCTAAAAGTAAGTGAAAAGAAAATTTAAATAGGTCTGAGTTGTACTTAAAGGATTTTGTCACCAAGTGGGAAAAAAATGATTGACCTGACAGAGCAATTTATTAAAAAAAAAATTCCATGTTTATAACTTGAGACTGTAAACTAGTTAATCTATTTATCTACATTTATTTTTGACCAAATAACATAAGAAAGAGAATACACTTAAAGACTGTACAATATAGGCTATGATTATACCCCCAAACAAGACCTATACTTAAAATATAAATTATTTTGCTTTTTTAAAATAAATTTATTGATTTAGAACCAGCACTTGGCCTAATGGCTATGTAGCTGGACTCCCATGTAGTCCATTGCGGTTCGAATCCCGGACCTGGAGACTTAAGCTTACATCGGGCACGTATGCGTGCGTGCCCAAGATCCCGAGAGAAGAATGGAGGAAAAGGGATTGTGGCGTGGTCATCCTCCGGGGGGTGATTTCTCCCTGTCTCTCTGTCTGTCTTTGTCTTTCTGGTGAGTGCACGTGCCCTATAGCAAAAACCTCTTCAAAAAAAGTTTATTGATTTACTTCCTCTGAGAGAGTGAGCGACAGTCAGTCACAGGTACTCCCAAAATGGTGTTCATGCTGTGAGCCTCCATCCAGTCTCAGTGTGCTGGATCACCAGGGTAAGCACACTGGGCACGTACAGGGAAACTTCAGGAACAAGAAATCAGGATCTGCCCACATGAATTCAGCATAAAGGAGCATTGCATCATCACTATGCCACAGCAGCTAGTCCCCCATTTTGTTTAAATCAAATCATTGTGAACCCTTCAAATAGGAACAAGCATTGTATCATGAGCCGTGTCCTTTATAAACTGTTATTAACTAGAAAAATGGTGTGATAATCTCCTTAACATGTCTAAGTCTCAAGTATAGTTTTCCTTAGGGGGCTATAATATTAGAGGCAACAAACACTAAAAGTTGATGAGTACTAAAGCAATCCCCTAGGAGAGGTATACCGATAGCAGGAACAGTAACTGTCCAGCAAGTGACTTGCTTAGGAAAAAAGTGAAACTAGAAACATTTACCAAAGTTTTATTTTGTCTATCCATAACCTGTCAATGGTAAGCTAGTTCATCAATATCATTAGTGAACATGAAATTGGTAAGGGGCAGTGTCGCTAACAAATGGGGTCCTGGAATCCAGTCAATCTGTAAGTGTGTATAAGAAATATTGCTATAATGCACAAGACTTTTTTAAAGAATTAAAGGATAACAGATGGTAGGAAATTTAAGTACTGTCAAAAATAAATAAAATAAAATAAAAACTGGGGCCAGCAGGTGGTATGGTGGTTAAGGCTGGACTCCCACATGGCCCACCACTATTCCAGTCCCATGGTGACTTGAAAAATGACACCAGGCAGGTTTGTGTGCCTGCCCAAAATCCCAGCAGGAGAATGGAGGAGAAAAGGATTATTTTGATGTGGCAATCTCCAGGTGGGAGAGGAGGTGACTTCTCACTTTCCCTATCACTGTCTGTGTCTCCTCTCTGGTGAGGAAACGTGCCCTATGGCAAAAACTAAAAAAAAAAAACAGAAAACAATCTGATAATATGTGTAAGTCCAGCATAGCAAATTAATTTAAAAAAAATTTAAAGTATAAAGACTAAGAGCAGTATGCAGTCTCATTCATAGAACTGATATGCCATTTTATCTGATTATTTCTTAAAGTTTCTTCCTTTCATGAGAGAAAGAGTAGGGAGGGAGACAAAGAGACAGGCACCCCTAACAGGATCTCCATATCATGATCCACCCTGGGACTCAGCCAGCCTGATCATAGGCACAGACTTAGGGAGGTTCTGGGAGATAAACCCAGGACCTTCCCCAGGGTAGGTCTGTGCCGCTGCCTGGTCTTGGATATGCCATCTTGGAGCTGTTGTTCAAGTTGGATTCTGAGAGTTATGCTGGAGAAATAAGTTTATCTTAGAAAGTCCCATGTAAAAGAGACAAGTTTGCTTTCCTAAAAATCACAGCACCAATAATGTATAAATAGATCCTATAAAATCTCCAAGATACGATGTGTAGCATTTCCCAAGTTTCTTTGATCAAAAAGCCTAGGAGCAGGCAGGGCACATGTGCGTTAGCTGATGATCCAGGCTGGCTGTGACCAGGGATAGACTGTCAAGAGAACCCGTTAGGTACGTGCCCTATGGCAAAAACTAAAAAAAAAAAAAAAAACAAAAAAACAGAAATAAGGGTTTCTTCACAAACAGAAGAAATTCTCGAGCAGACCAAGCAGACCAAGAAATACTCATTCCGAAGGATACAAATGTGAAAGACAATCCAGTAGCCAAAATCCATCTGGCAGGCTACTGCAAAGAACAGAATTCTCACTTTAAACAAAGGTCAGCTAGAAATTCATAAACTTTTTTTTTCCATTTGTATATATTCATGTTGCCTCTCAAAAGTCAGAAAAATTTAGGAAAATATTTATTCTAAAATGGCAGGGGTGTGAAATGACTGCTAGGATAATTAATTTTTGCACTGCCTTGAGAATTCTGTGTCATAACTTCATGACATACAATACTTTTTACCAAACGCTAGTTCCACTTTTATCACCCATCATTTTCACTAGTTCCAGTTCAAATTAAAAAAACTCTAAAATTGGTAATCTTGGAGATCATCCAATCCAGTGTCATTCGCAGTGAGAAAAACATAGGTCCAAAGAGACTGAGTAATTTCTTCAAATTCTCTCAAGAAGTAATGCTAGGATGTACCTTCCTCCTAGACTGTAACTGCATACTATGACATCATAAGGCCTCTGTAACCTGTAAGATTTGAGGGCACCATGTATATGGAAAGAATGTGCAACACATTCCTAAAGTGCTTCAATAGAAGAGGCAGTTGAATAGCTTCTGAAGCTGCAACTCTAAAGAAGGGTGTCACTTATGGCTATGTGCTCAATAAATGATTTTGAGTGAATGAATTGGATATATATGTATGGGTATATTTCTTAAAAGATTAATTATAATTGCATCCTACTTAAGCTACCTCATGTATTTCTGAATTTCCTGTCTATCTAGAGCCTGGTCATACATCAAGTGTTTTCAAATTCACTTTAATTTTTTTATTTTATTCTGATATTTTAAAGTTCTATTCCTCATCCCTGGTCCCAGCTTCAAGAGGATTCTGAATCTGGTTAATGTACTTCAGAATAGAAACAGAAAGTATCTTCCTCCTGTTTTCATTTCATACTTCCATAAATACAAATTCTAAAGAACATATTTTATATAAACTGAGGGAAAACTATTAAAAGAGGTCACACCTAGAATTAGATTCTAGGGGCCAGCAGACGGCCAAGGTAAAGAAGTTGGATCACCATTGTGCAGTTTGAGAATCACCTGGGAGCTTGAAAATCACACCAGGCACACGTGCAAGTGTTTCTAAAAACCCCAGAGGACATGGAGGAAAAGAGATTGCTGCCTGGCCATTCCCCAGCAGAGGGATTGCTCGCTCTTTCTCTCCCCCCTACCTCCAAATGCACAAGCCTATGGTAAACTAAAAAATCAGATAATAATAATAATATACTATTACAACTTCTTCAAAGTTTAATTTACATACCTACACACACACACACACACACACACACACACACCAATAGGTGTCCTCTTTCACTGCTTTAAAACAACTCTCAGGACACAGTTATGGGCAGATTTTATATAGAGTATCTTGCGCTTTTCTCTATTTTCTAAACTTTGTAATGTTCATATTTACTCTTTACTGGCCCCAAACAATATGAAAACAAGGAATACAAATAAATGACTATGAAGACTGCTATCTCTTAAAAAATGCCAAGGATCCTAGAAAAGTTATCAGATGCATCATGCTAATAAACACTTTTTTCCGCAGTACTTTAAAAAAATAAGGTAAGACATCAATACATACTATGATTGATTGATTGATTTTTTTTTATTTTTTAAAAATAATGCAAGATCACTGTGGGGACAGAAACTACCACCACACTCAGTATACACGGTAACAGAAAAAGTTTCTACGCTCTGCCACCTTAAGACGACATGCAGTCTTTCAAGGACCACAACGATAAACCCAACTAGAGTTTTGCAAAGCGTTTTCTTTTCCAAAGTAGCATTTGGCTTTTTTTTTTCTTTAGTTAGAAAACGAATCCTAGCAGGTGACATATATCAAAAAGAATGACCCAAACCAAAACTGGCGCGGCGTAGTTAAGTGTCCCAAAGACTACAAACACGGACGTCACAACTGGTTCCATATTCATCTGCCAGTGGGAGGGGAAAAACGAACGGACCAGACCCTCCTAATACTTGGCGGGGCAAAGCAAGTCTAGGTGAAGAAAGCAGGAAGATCTGTGCAGAGCAGGAAGAGTTACGACGCAGCTGAGTCTTCCGTCCCCAGAGCCCAAGGACTCCTTCCTAGTCACCGCGACCCTCCGTCCCCCGGGCCCCGTCGCCCGGTCCCGGCCCCCGCACACCTGCCAACGCTCGGCCGCAAACCCCTAGCCCCCAGCCCGCGTCGGCCGCGTGGGAGTGAAGGAAGAGGAGGCTCACCAGGTCCCTCCGGGCTGGACGGCGCCAGGGGCCGCTGGGACGGGGACCCGCACCCGGGATCCCCCTGGGCGGGCTCCCTCAGGTAATCCTCGAAGCGCACCTGCCGGGCTTCGCCACCACCCCCGAACCCCCACAGGCGGCTGGCGGTGCCCCGCAGA